ATTGAAAAAAGAAGTGCATATCAGAGCTTCAACTTGTGATTATTGTCTACAGGAGGATGAAAAGGTGAATCATGTGTTAATCAAGTCTCCATTCGCAACTGCAGTTTGCGACTGGATCATCAAATGGTGCAATGCAATATCTCCATCCCCCAACTCGAAAATGTTGGAGATGTAATAACTTTTGCTGCAAATTTGGGGAAATAGCCCTAAAAAACGAAATACACTTACTAGCATACTCTACGATACACTTTGGTGGATTTGGAAGGCAAGGTGTGACATAATCTTTAAGAATCTTCGTATCTTTCCGACACAGGTGACTGAAAAAATAATATCTATGGCTTTCTGGTGGATCAAACACAAGATGACAAATTGCTCTTATAAATGGGTTGAGTGGTGTATTTGTCCTTTTATTTGCTTAAAAGACTTTGTATCTCGCTGTGCCACGTCTGTCTAGCTTCTTCCTAAGCTTTTTATTATATATAATTGCCGGTTCAATATATATATATATATATATATATATATATATATATATATATATATATATATATAACATTAATTGTATTTGATGATTTTAATTAGGGGTGAGCATGGTGCGGTGCGGTGCGGTTTTTGGCTAAAACCGAACCGAAAAATGCAACTTCGGTTTTTTGAAGTTTAGAAACCGTACCATTCGGTTTGTATGCGGTTCGGTTTTTTTTTTGCGGTTTTTTGTCAGTTTTGTTATTTGGTTTTTTTTGCCTTTTTACTAAAACTCAGGTAACTCAACGAGTTACTTTGACTCGGATGAAGAGTATTAATCATTTCTTAAGAAACTTTATATAGAGATAAATCGATACCACCACCTATTGGTTTGAACTCAAATGGCATAACCACTCATCCAACATGTTTCTAATGCTTGATTATAATGCGAATTAAATATAATATTTGTTTCGCCGGTACATGAGATAATATCAATTAATGTATTCATAAAAATGATATTATCATCACTACTACTCTTCATATTTATTTAATAAAAAATATAATAAACATTATTTGTTTTGTAAATATACTTTTGAGTGTATAAAATCTTTTGAGTACCAGATTGTCTCAATTAAAATCCTAAGAATGTCATAATCAATACGTATTTATACCATCGACACCTGAAAGTGTCAAGGAACATAACTCTACTCTCTATTCCTAACTTACACACATATTTCGAATGAGACTACCCAATATCAAAATTAACTGAACTAGGTATCTACAATAATTCCTATCTCATTAACGGGTAGAACTACTAGTATCCCAATATCAACTCTGTTTAGACAACATTATCCTATCTCAGGGTGTATATTTAGCACAGAGTAGGGGCAGAGCCCCTGGCGCGAAATTTTTTTATATATATTATGTTACTATATTAAAACTGCATCAAAAATCCGGATTTTTGATAAATGTACTCGGTTTTGTGATCCATATTCTAGACACGTATTTAAGGTTGTTTATGACCGTTTGTGGAAAGTTTTAGGACATAAAACTGTCATGTGGCAGTTTTAAGACATGAAGTTTTTTCTGTTATATGATCATATCCGAATCTGTGTTGGTACACTTCTTCTTCATAACATCAAAACATTATCTCTTTAGTTTTTCTCTCAATTCTGAGTCTTATCCGATTAAAGATTGGGAGTACCATCCAAATACTTTAATCTGAAAGTGCAAACCACAATTCTCAGAATTTCCAAGGCTATTTTATCCAGAATTTTCTTACAATATGTCTTAGTTAAGACATATTAGATTAAATCTTACGTGGTATTCAAAACATTTCCATAAAGTGTATGCTCAAATAAGTATGGCTTCTGCACCACAAGGTTCTTCACTTAACCTTTGTAAACCTCGAGTTCAACCTCTGATGGCTAGGGTCTTCGGTGGTCGAATCTCGAGTTCAACCTTCGATGGTTAGGGTCTTATAGCCTAGGGGTTGCATAATTTATTTTGGAGTTGCACTACTAGAAAAACTCATCTCCGATGATAGTTTCCATCAAAAATCCGTCATTAAGGGGTTTTACTAACGGATTTACAATGAATTTACACTAATCAAATTTTGGGACATATTTCCAATGGATTTGTGTGACATCCTCTAGTTTTCAAAACCAAAAAGAAATTCTCTTTACGCTTTAAAAATCATGATATTTTATTTGCGGAATATCCCAGTGTATAAAATCTTTTGAGTACCAGATTGTCTCAATTAAAATCCTAAGAATGTCATAATCAATACGTATTTATACCATCGACACCTGAAAGTGTCAAGGAACATAACTCTACTCTCTATTCCTAACTTACACACACATATTTCGAATGAGACTACCCAATATCAAACTTAACTCAACTAGGTATCTACAATAATTCCTATCTCATTAAAGGGTAGAACTACTAGTATCCCAATATCAACTCTGTTTAGACAACATTATCCTATCTCAGGGTGTATATTTAGCACAGAGTATTTAGGTATTAATATACCTTTAACCTTTTCTCTAATAATACTTCTATTATAATTATCATGTAAAAATAGATATATATATATATATATATATATATATATATATATATATATATATATATATATATGTTTTAACATATATAGAACCATATCTGGTTCGCATATCGTATATCCTTAAATATATTTTTAACACATAATCCAGACAATAAGCATATAGTTCACACATAAATTCTCTAACAGATATTTAATACCTTAGTTAATACTTGTATTACAATCATGTTCATGAAAGAGGCTATGCACTCACTTGGAGAATTCGGCAGAGCTTCGTCTAGCACCTTAGCTTTTCTTTTGACGTGACCTAAGTATGATTAATACCGAGTCTTGGTCTAATGATCCTGGTGACTAAATGATAGTCTAGATTCCTCACTAATCCGAACATATACATCAAGATGTAACGTCCCAAAAATACCAAGTAAAAATTTCATTTTAAATAAGTCAAAACTATTCATTCATTGTTCCAAAAGACGATCATAGTCAAAGTATTCTCAAAACATCAGATTGATTCATAAACATTCAATGCTGAATAAGTCTCCAGGGGATGCAGTGCGATCAAGCTTAGCCCTTCCTTTTGAAACCAGGAGTACCTGAAACAATTTTAAACATAAACCATAAGCACAAAGCTTAGTGAGTTCCCTAAAATACCACAAGTCATACTAATCAGTGGGCCCAACCCTGGGGTATATTCCAACCCATCATACAATCATGGGCCCAACCTTAGGGTATATTCTAACCTAACATATAATCATAGGCCTAGCCCTGAGGTATGTTTCAAACCGAACATGCAATAATGGGCCCAACCATGGGGTTTATTTCAACCCAAACATACAATAATGGGCCCAACCCTGAGGTGTATTTCAACCCAACCATACATGAAAAAGTCACAAAGACAGCTGGCATGCTACATAACACAATCCAGTGGGCCGACATTGGTGCCTTCGACCCACAAGTACAGTGAGAAGACTCACCTCGATCGGTAAACGAATATATGTTAATTGTTAGCCTTTAGGTTTATGTCCCTTTTTGTCACATATTCTTGGTCTAATTGGGTATGAGCTACTCCAGGCCTTATGAGTAGCCTTTTCAGACGTTGTTGTGTGCATGGAGTCATAAAAATGCAATCTTGGCCCTTTCTTTCCATCCATGCATGAGATATAGAGCTTGTGATTGTGTAATAAGCTAGGTTTTTGTATTTGGACACTCTTTAGCCATGCAAATGAATAAAGTTGGAAAATTTATGATTTAGAATGCTCATTAGGGTTATATCTAAGTATTGGGTGAAAGGTCTTAAGGAAATAAGTGCTTAATGTGAAGTTTTGGAACCTGAGGCGTACGCAGTGCATAATCTAAGCTACGCCCCACGTAGCCTGGTAGAACCCCGTTTTCTAGAATAAGGCTCTACGCCATGCATAGAGCTGGAGTACGCAACACGTAGGTCAACAGAAGTTTGATCGTTGACTTTTTGACCCGTTGACTTTTGGTTAACTGTGACGTTAGGTCTCGGGAATGGAAAAATGGTATTTTGTCCTTAGAAGAGTTAGTCCTAGTCTAAGGACTTTTCGGTTTGAGGTTTTTACCTTGGTTTTGACTTAAGGCTTTTTGGTGAATTGATAGTTTGAGGAGTTCGGGGCTCAACAACTCTAGTTCATGTTTTCTCTAATAGCTGATTGAGGTGAGTTTTAGTCACTATACCCGTGGGTCGAAGGCACCAAAGCCGTCCCACTAGGTTGTATGATGTATCCTAGTATATAGGATGTTGTTATGCTGTAGTGATATGTTAGATTGGTAGATCTGTATGATTATCTGTTTGCTGGTTATATGTTTATATGTTGCATATGTCGACATAGTGCGGTTGGGTTGAGGCAATACTGCTTTGTACGGAAGCCAACAAACCCGAGAGCAATCCAAACATAAGCTGAGGGCCGGGAGGGCAATCCAGACTTATGATGTGGGCTCGGGAGCAATCTAGACATAAGTTGAGGGACGAGAGGGCAATCCAGACTTATGTTGTGGGCTCAGGATTAATCCAGTCTGATGATTGTGGGCCCGAGGGTATTCCAATATGATGACTGTGGGCCCAATGTGCATGTTGTTATATGTTTGTCTATGGGGTACTTTGGAAGAACTCACTAAATTTTGGTTTACAATTTGATTTTTGTGGTTTCACTAAACTGTGTACCGTATCAATCATAGTTGGTACACAAAAATTTCTACCAATACCATACTAAGTATAGTTGGTACCAACTTGTTTGGCTACACATAAGTTCAGTTGGTACATGTTGGTAATGTTATATACCAACTTGTTTGGCTACACATAAGTTCGGTTGGTAACATGTTGGTTGGTTGGTAACATGTTGGTTGATTTTCCGTGATATATATTCTCCAACTCTAATAGATTTATTAGAGAAAAAAAAGTGATTGCTAACCAAACATTTGCCGTTTTTGCTTCATACTACAAAAGGAAAATGTAACGTTGGAATATAATTAAAGTGGTGTGTGACTTTGTGTTTGACTGTTGACTACATAAAAGCTTTTTATAAACAATTACAATGATTATTCTCGTAGGAAATTGTTGGGCATCTAGTTTCTTGATAACTTCACGATCTCATTGGCAAGTTTCTCCGTATCCAGATAAGATGAGCCATTGAAACCAGTCGCACTTTCTGCCATTTTCTTCCACTCCAAAGCTTTCTTCCTCATTCGTTTTCCCTCACCTCCCTCCATTAACTCCCTCACAAGCTTCTCCACTTCATCCCTATTCAAGTTCTTGCTAATCTCCATGCCAACCTCCCATTCCTTGCACATTTGCCTACAGTTCGTCTGCTGATCCCCAGAAACTGGCCAACATATCATTGGAACACCAGTCGACAAGCTCTCAATGATCGAACCCCACCCACCATGAGTTAAGAACCCACCAACAGATGGGTGGTTCAACACCTCTTCTTGTGAACACCAGCTTGCTACAAAGCCTTTACCCTTCATCGCCTGCTTGAGTTCTTGAGGCAACACCACAGGCTTCCCATCAACCAAATCAGTCCGTATAATCCAAAGAAACTCACGTCCACTGTTAACAAGTCCCCACCCAAATTCTAGTAAATCTTGTAAAGACATTACTACTAAACTTCCAAAGTTTACATACACCACGGAGTTCCGTTCCTTAGACTGGAGCCACTGGACACACTCCGGTTCTTCCTTCCATAAACTATAGCCATTGCAAATCGACTTGTTGGTTTCGTTTTCTGTAATCTGATTCAGAAGTAATTCCAGAGGCCCGACAGAGTAGACATTAGGAAAAATAGATTTAAGCTCTTTGACGAGACTCGCTTCTAGTTCCTTGAATGTATGGATGATCATATGCGAAACTTTATCAGCAGCTTGAGCGGTTTTCAGGATGAATTTAAACATAGGACTAGTGGGATCTGTGGATCGTGTAAACTCAGGTAGTTCCTTTAAACGGATTCCTTCCATTCCAGGAATCCAATCTATTTCCATGTCAAGATAACCATTCGTCAAATAACTTTCATCTGTAAAAAAAGTTCAAGATTGATTAATCAGGTGACCAAGATAAAAACTTTTGTTTCTGGGAATCCACAGCAGTAACAAATCGATCTGGGCCACCCTCTTGAATATATTAAGAAAAAGGTGAAAAGACTGATGGATCTAACCTTTAAGTGGGACAAGTCCTTTCTCCATTAGAACTTTTACCTGGTAAAACCCCATGAACCCACTGGCAGCCATGGTCCAGAAAAGGATGATGGGGATGTTAAGCTTTTCAGCAGCATGAATAGTATTTGTGTAAGTCATGAACCCATCGCAAATAATACAGGTGACTGGAATATCCAGCCCGGATACAAGATGAAGAAAAGAATCAAAGAAATTGGTTCCAAGGTAGTTCCAGAGTTGAGCTTTGGTTTGGGTATGTTCAGTTTCAATACCATGATCATCTGTAGTAGTAGTAGAAGGGAGACCATCTGGAACTGTTTTGAACTGAAAACCAGGAGCCCCATCGGCCCAGCGAGTGCCACCGGAGTTTACGAGGCGCTTGTGGTCGGACTGAGTGTTGATGAAGGTTACGTGGATGCCCTTGTGGTGAAGAAGTCTGGCTAGTTTGAGCATACATTTGATGTGGCTTTGTGCTGGACATGGTATGAACACCACATGAGGCTGTTTCTGATCGATTATGGCCGCTGCATCCATCTCTCTCTGTGTTACATCGTTGATCGAGTTCTGTTTTTTTATAGTATGTTAAATTAAAAGTCCCAAATTGTTGTAAAAATCGATCGTTATGTTCCGTATTGTTTGTGCCCCACTACCATCCAAAATGACATGTTATTTTTTATTGGTCAATATTTGTCTTTTTATAATTTTTTATTTATATTCTTAAATAAAATTTAGGGTAAATTACACCAATCGTCCCTCGTGCACATGCCAGAAAGCGTGTTTAGTCCCTATTTTCAAAAATTAACTCCGACTGTCCCTCGTTTGCTTAAAACTTGCTAACTTCGTACCTTATATGTGTTTTTGTTGCGAATTTAGTCCACTCCACATTTGAAATGACCATTATGCCTTTGGATATTTATTTTTAGTTAATTTTAATATTATTTATTATTAATAATTAAAAAAAACAACTCTCTAATATCTATCTCTCTCATACGCATGAAAATACCACCACCACCTTCGATGTAGTTTCTCTCTCTCTCTCTCTCTCTCTCTCTCTCTCTCTTTCTCTCTCTCTCTCTCTCTCTCTCCATTCTTCTTCAATACAAAACACACATACACACACACACAAGAAGCCATCACATTGACTTGAAGAACCTCGATTCACCTTCACGTTGACTTGAAGAAGCCATCAGACAACAAATTGAATCCTCAATGAAGCTATAACCTACATCACAAGGTAAATTAGCCCTCGCCGACTTACACCATCTATGAGGAAGATGAAGTGGTGGTGGATGTAATCCTCCTTGATCTGGTGACGGTGGACATCACGTTCCTCGATCTGATTCCGTCAATCAAAATCCTCTTTCTTCTCCTGCAACTCGTTAGTTCCAATTTGCAGGTTTAGGGTTTAGTTAGGGTTGATTTGCAGGTTTAGAGTTTGATCTTTGAGGTTTGATTTTTCCGATTTGTAGGTTTGGGGTCTCGCCGGATCTGTGTGGAGAAAGGGGTGGGATGGTTCCAGAAATTGAAGTCGAAATCTAAGTCATACATTGGTGGTCGTCGTTGTTCTTGAGCAATCGACGAGTTCAGACCATGGATGGCGACTGGAGAGTCCAGATCGGGCGATTTATGTGACATTTATAAAATCACATATTGCAGGGGTAGAAACGGGCTCCTGGGATTCACCGGTGGAAATTTTTTGTTGGTTTGAGATACGAATGATCGCCGATGATGTATCAATTTTTTGAGAGATTATTTTGGTTGTGGATGTATCGATTTCTTGGTTTAAGGTCTTGAAGAGGATTTGGAGTCGTGGAGTAATGGATTTGATTTCTTGAGAGATTATTTTGTTTTTTTTTTAATTTAAAACTGATAAATAAATAAAAGAAATGAAAAAAGAAATTATTAAGGGTAAAATGGTCATTTCATGTCAATAGGGACTAAGCATGCAAGAAAAAAACAAACCAGGGACGGTCCGAGTTAATTTTTTGAAAATAAGGACTAAACACGCTTTTTGGCATGTGCACGAGGGATGATTGGTGTAATTTACCCTAAAATTTAACAAGTGCCTGATGACATAAGCATTGACGAATTAATAAACATAAATTAATATTATTTAACTAAGGCTGTGTTTGACGCGTCACAGCTAGCTGATAAACTAGCTTATTTTTCAAGTTTTTTTATATTGTTGTGTTTGTTAAGCCAAAAAGTAGCTTATAAGCTAGCTTTTTGAAAAGCTACTTATACTAGTTTTTAGGAACTTTTTTAAAAATTTCCAAATACACCCTTTAATTAATTATAGAAACACATACTATTACATGTCTTTTTATGTAATTTTATATATTTCAGCTAGCTTTACCAAACGCCATTTTTTATCGGCTAGCTTTTCAGCTATCAGTTAATTTTTTATTTAACAACTAGTTTTTCAGCTATCAGATAGTTTTTCAGCTAACAGCTAGCTTTTCAGCTAGTACGCCAAACATAACCTAAGTTGATCGTTACGGTGTATAGAGCTACAAGTGTTTTTTTTTTTATATATATTTTTTGAAATGACAACACACATGCATTTTGATTTACTTGTAAACTATATTTATAGAACGGCAACGTACATACACGATAATCTACCTTCAGTGGCGAATCTAGAACCAAAAACCACATGGTTCCGTATGTAAATAAAACTAAAATAGTTAGGTCTTTTAGCAAAAATAGGTGGGTCTTTTAGCAAAAATGAGATAGGTCATTCATATTTTCTATATATATTTATTGTATTTAAAAAAAAAGTAGGTCCTAAGACCTACCTTGTTGAAGCTTAGCTACGCCCCTGTCTACCTTTTAAATTACATTATGTCTCAAATGGATTAAAACTTTTAACCTTATGAAATAATTTAAACTCTTAGACGAGATTTTTTGGCGTCTTTATCAATTCTTTTGATTGATTAAATGACTACATGTACAGCCTAATTAAATATTTGAGTCAATTTTTGTAAAGCTATCATTAAAGTAGATAAAATAAAACATAAGCCTTAAAGTTTGAGTCAAATATTATATTTTTATCTTGATAACATTAATTCTTATTTCTGATCAATATTAAATCATATTTAGCAGACTAACTGAAAGCTAGCTTTTATCTAAAAACTAGCTTTTAGGTTATGTTTGTTGCGTCACGACTAACTAATAATGTAGTTTGTTTTTCAATCTTTTTTAAGTTATCATGTTGAACAAACTAAAATGTAGCGTATAAGCTATCTAAAAAAAAAAACTATGATACCTACCTTAAGAACTAATAATGTTTGATAAAAAATAACTTATAAGCAAAATTGCAATTATTAAATGACATAAATAGATATGTAGATATAAAACTAAAAAACAACATTAAATATTAAGGACATATATATATATATATATATATATATATATATATATATAATATATATATATATATATATATATATATATATATAGAGAGAGAGAGAGAGAGAGAAGTTCATGTATTCTAACTAATTATTGTGTGGATATATGATTGATTGTGGACCAATCAAAATTTAAAAAATAAATAAATAATCAAACAAATAAATGAGGGTAATTTAGTAATTTGATAAATAATTTCTACAAATAGACTCCTGTAATTATGGTAATTAGTTTGACATATCTTTATCCCATTTTAAAACAATCAACAACTTACTGTATTCTATCCCGTTCAAAATTACTGATGATCCTCCCGAACCCTAGTTTCAAAACGACAACAAGTTGAAGTGCGAGACACATCAGCGGTTTCAAGCTGTTTCGGTGAGTTGCTTTTGTTGCCGCTGTCTTCCCCTTCTTCCACCTAGCAGGAGACACCTTCAACATCCTTCGCATCTCTTAGTACTTCCTTCTATCTCTCTTCAGATCTACCGTCTTTTTCCCCTTGAACCCTAACCCCATTCGCTCTCGATCAAACCCCAATTCTCCATCTGTATTCGTCGAATGTCAGTATTTTATGCAGAGATCCCCACCAGCACGATCATCATGATAGCATCGGTGGTGGTTGCAACGTTGGCGTTAATCACTGCAGATTTCTTAATCATGCGACACTTTGACCCATATGCAAAAGATTCCTTTCAAGTACCACCAACTTACGTGAAGGGAACTCCATCTTACCATGATAAGATGGAGCAAGGCTGTGGTAAAACCGCAGCCAAGAAGATTGATTCATCCCACAAGTTGACATTCTTCAGAAACGACACAGAAAAGTTCGATTTGGCAGACCTCTTAAAGGTGTCGGAAACCCGTGGCTCGGTTTCCTTCTTCACATAACTATTGATCCTGATTCTTGGTGTAATATGTATGATAATGAGCTTTTATTATGTAGACTGGAATGAAGAAGAATATGTTTGGAAACAATCCAGTTTCATTCCCAACTCCTGCTATATCCTCAGAGCCTTTGCTGACAAAAGATGCCTCCTCTGTGAATGGTTCTTCTTCTTCTAAACCTTCAAATATAGATATTGTGGAGATTGATGTTCCTAATTCAGCAAATAACTCTAGAAGCCCAATTTTTGGTGTTGTAAGTAACTTTTACCTTTTTCATGGAATATCTTGAGCTTTTTATTTCCATCTTTGAAATCCAATTCCAATTCCAATGCAACCTGGTGCCACAACAAGAAAGAGTGCAAATTCCATTTCCATATTTGTTTGATTTTCTTATAATTATTATAATATATAATTTGGATGCAGGGCTTTTTTAGCGACAATGGGAATTCTGTATTACAGAATTGCACAACGATGGTTTAGGGAGGAGGTGGCGGGCCATGAGGAGGAGCAGTAGAGTGGGTTTTGGTTGTCTGGGTTTCATCTCATGATGGATGATATTATAATTTGGATGATATATGCAACTTGGAAATTTGAATTATAACATATGAGTTTTTACATGTTAGAAAGTTTTAGGTGTTGGAATTGGATTTGGGGTTTATACCTTATAGTTTTTCATGAAAGAACCCTTCAAAAACCCTTTGGGACCCTTGAAATGCGTGTTCTAAATTTCCATTTTGCATTCATATGTAATAATGGTGAGGGTAATTCTACCAGAATTGAATATTGAATTTCAATTCTGTCGGAATAGAATCTCGAATTCCGATTCTGTCCGAATTGAATTTCGATATTTCCCTTGTGATTTGTGCATTTTCTACAATTTTTGGTTATGAGTTTTGGTGCAAATCACAAACGTGCAGATTTGTACAAAGGATTTTAGTTTTTTCTTTTTCATTTGGTAATGAACTATTCTTTCAGAATGGCCTGAAGAAGGTCATACAATAGAAGACTTGGAATTGAGTTCAATAACAAGTTACATTGAAGAAGATTAAGTGTGATTATTTGGATTATTGAAGAAGATAAAGTGTATTTTTTCAATGTTGTATATTTGAGAATATTATTCTTAAAAATTTTATTCATTTTGATGACATTCTGTTAGAATATGTACAATTATATTAAAATGTATCGGTATGTAAGAATATTTATGAATTTGTTTTTATGTTCGGATGTGTATAAATATATTAGAATGTTGTTATTAT